CCAGAATCAATTCGCCTCCCCCAGTTTGGTCGGAACTAAGCAAGTATGCATGCTGTGTTTGAGGTCTCGACTATTTGAAGATATCGACGCCTGTTTGCTAGGACGCGTCATTATTAGTAAGAGCGGCATCCATAATAACAAACAAAGAGCTCATCGGGAACCCCCAACCCATTTACCGGCTCGGACAGTTCTCGCACATGAGCTCACTGGTCAGCTGCCCTCGGTAGTTCCACGTCCCTTGCGGGCATGGGTGGCAGAATATGTTGTCCTCCTCAGCGAAACTAGGATCACCAATCGATCTGTATGTTCCCGGTCTGCATGCCACTGGCTCCCAGGTACCTATACGCCACGACACGAGTCCTCGCAAAAGTCTGATTACACCAGCGCTTGAGAAGGATCTAAAGTGCGAACCAAACAGTTATGCATATCTAGATTTAGAGAGTATGGTTGTAGACTACGTAACGCTTCTAAAACGTTGGTGTCAATCGATTCACATTGTTATCGTGTTGATATTACTCAAAGTTTACTCTCGAACTCCTAAAAGTTTAAGGCGTTGAAAATATTACTCTATATAACGATTCGGTTCACACTGTAAAACCTTGCATGCCAAATACTCAATGTAAATAACTAAATCGATTCACAGACAAGATTGACAACAGGTCATGACGCTGACCCTCCTCCCTATCCTCACCATCCAGTGTGCACTCATGACCGTCTGGACAGGCCTTACAGCTCACCTGCCCTATCTCATCCTGGTACGTGCCAGGCTTGCACTTAGAAGGCGTATATGCACCAGTGTAGTCCACAAAGTAGCTGAGCTCAGAGACTTATGCAATTTTGAGATATTATGCCCCTAAGGGTTGGATAACAACGAAAAAATGTTCCTAATGTGATGATGACATTTACATTGGAAACTGTTCGAAGAATGTGTTCCTAGCCCTACGTAGAAAATTCAAAATGAGTTCCCCCCGGGAACATTATAGGTTCCTGGTTGAGCTCGATAGCCACAGAAACATCATCATAGATGCTTACCCCTTAGGTGCTAACACAGGCTCCAGACTAGCCCGCACACAGTAGTGCCCCACAGGGCACTCCCCCTGGCCCCTATAGGTAGTCTCATTCGCTCTACAAAAGTATCTACCAACAGCGTAACGCCACCATCAGTCACTAGGCACACACTACCCTTCCACACATTTCCGTGGCGCTGTTGGGTCCAAGTCATCAACCACCCCTGTCGTCGTACCAGGCATACAGTACGTACCGTTGCCACATATAACAGGAAGATATCTGGCCACCCCCATCACCATCAATCCTACACGCTCTACTGCCACTTACAATGCATCAATACCAGCGAGTGTGTTCAGAGTTAACACTCCTGGTAGGCAATAGCTTCCGGCTGGACACATGTAACTAGGCTGCGACCGACCAGCATATGCACATACTCGACCGGCCGGACATAGCGACGGGAAAGCCGATCCTTCAAAAGCACATATAGTACCTACAATATGAACCAAAGCGTTATGGGAAGTGATACCTTCAATTTTCAGGAAGTTCGAAAGTCAACTTTGAGTAATAATATCAACATGATAACAATGTGAATCGATTGACACCAACGTTTTAGAAGCGTTACGTAGTCTACAACCATACTCTCTAAATCTAGATATGCATAACTCTATGGTTCGCACTGTATTCACACACTAATATTCGCTTCCCAATTCTCACCAGCAGTGCAAGTGCTACAAAGGGAGCTGCCTGCTGAGGGTTGGTACGTACCAGAGGGGCACGGTTGTGGGTACCCTCCTACTGACCGAGTCGTCGAACATGAAAACCTGAGAAAATCCGATCGTCAACCTAACAGCGTGATAGTTCTCAACCAGTACTTACCCCACAGCACAGGGCAACAGCCGACTACTATTCTCGCTAACATAATACCCAGCAGTGGACGAGGCCTCCAATGCCAATGGGACCGTCGACCCTCCCATACACAGTATTCCAGGAATCGAGCATGCGGGAATCTTAAAAACAATAGCAACAGAAGAGCCTTAGATTTCCTCACGTTATCGCTAATTATGATATCGCCATCTGCTGTCCTCATCCCCACGATGCCAGGGGGGCAATAGAACCCTTCAGGGCAGTCTATGGTCTCTACCGAGACCGGCAGTTCCACCAGTCTGCGATGCTCACTCAGCCTCCGCCGCCGAACTCCTTGTATCTGAACAGGCGTATAATGCTAACAGAACGTAAACCAGTCGAGCGGTTGACCTCGACAGTTCTCGCAGTAGCAGGAGTTTCCATACATACTAAACCGGCCGAACATAGTGCAATTTCCTGATCGTTACCTTCTTTATCCCAACAAACGTATCTGATAGAGCATACCGTTCACGACAGAGGGGGGCCCTTACCCTTGAGGGCATCTCTCCGGAGCTCTAGCGGCGCTAACCCCACACTGGGCCCCGATCGGGCAGATCTCGCAAGTCCAATTGCCAGTAAGATTCTGGTAGTAACCCGCCGCACAAGGAGTAGCAAATCTACACTCAAAACTCCTCCCACAAATCACAACACGCATTTTCTCACTGTGGCGCTGTCGGAGAAACGGTAAGGTTTCGCGCATACCCTCCTTTGCAGAAGTGCCCCACCGGGCACGCCCTCGGTACACCATCCTGATGAACCTCTGGACGGTAATACATCCCAATAGGTACATCAACATACGCATATCTGACCAAAGAGGAAAGGAAAATACCCCACAGTAGTCCACACTTACTCCTTGAGAATTTCCGGTTCCGTACCTCCCAATTCCAGCCGGCCTGTGAACAACCGATCCTGAACAGTTACATGAGCTGAATCCTAGTACAATCCCAGATTTCGATTATTTCACGAATATGCAACTACAGTGTGAAGCGAATCGTTATGCTGAATAGCATTTTCAACGCCTTTGATTTTTGGGAGTTCGAAAGTCAACTTTGAGTAATATCAACATGATAACAATGTGAATCGATTGACACCAACGTTTTAGAAGCGTTCCGTAGTCTACAACCATACTCTCTAAATCTAGATATGCATAACTGTTGGCTTCGCACTGCTATGACTACCAGGAACAATTCAGTACAAGTAGAGTTCAGAAAAAGGGTCGACACCCCTAAACAGGCCCCAACGATAAAACCAAGCTCACCTGCAGATTGTGGCTTAGGCTGACTTCAAGCCTAGTGGGAGGGAGTATAAAGTGTGGCACTGCCGGTAACCGTACCGTGACCATCGTGTCATTCACGAGAGCTGCTTCCGCCCGAACAGGCGTGTCACCAATGATGACGTAGAGTGAGTGAACCTCCTAATAAACATAAGTATACAATTCTTCCTACCACCGAAAATGCAGACCTACTTCTGCATCACCAGAGCCGTTGACATACTGAAAACCCGTCCCATGCAAGGTGATGAGATTCCCTCCCAAAAACGGTCCCGAGGAGTGTGAAATCTCAGCTATATGTGGTCGATTAATTGTCTAAACCACGATCATCACAACACCGCTGGCAGTAGTAGAAGCAGCAGCAGCTCACCAGGACAGTTTTATTAGAATCAGAGTACGCTTCTGGAGTAAGGCCAACCTCAACCTTAACTTCGCCAACTCCCGTCCCCTCGAAATGCGAGATGGGCGGCTTCAACGGCTTACAACGCAGGGCATCTCGCGAGAGATACGAAGCAACGACGATCTCAGGTTCTTGCCCAGCTGCATCGTACCTTGTAGGGAAATGACAAAACTCACTATGGACAAAGCATCTATGGACAAAGTATGCACATGTGTTGATGACAATATGAAAATTGTGAGGAAATTTTGGGCAATTCTCATTGGTTTCTATACAATTCTATTCCAATTCGTATATAAACTCCTATAGTTAGTGAGGAAACTCCTGAGCTCAGCTGAGGAAAGCGAACATATATTCCTACTCCAACACTGTATAGGAAACTCCTGAGCTCAGGTGAGGAAAGCGAACATATATTCCTACTCCAACACTGTATAGGAAACTCCTGAGCTCAGCTGAGGAGAGCGAACATATATTCCTACTCCAACACTGTATAGGAAACTCCTGAGCTCAGGTGAGGACAGCGAACATAGATTCCTACTCCAACACTGTATAGGAAACTCTTGAGCTCAGCTGAGGAAAGCGAACATATATTCCTACTCCAACACGGGTACAAAAGTCGCCCTGCTCACCACCATTTACACACAACTTCTCCAGAGACTATCACTCGGAAGTGACTACCGTGAATGAGGAGGCTTCCTTGCAGGGTGAGGTTGTGCCAGACCTGAGGATAATGAGGATTTATAACACTAAATTTGTTTCCAAACTACAGAGTGTGTTTCCCTTTCCTGAGCTGCGCAGTTACCTCCTAGTTATGAGAGTTCACCCACGAATTGGACTTGCGCAATGTACAGGAACGAATGAGAGTTTCCCAAATTTTCCTCCAAATATTCATATTGCCAACAACATGTAGTTGACCATGCGCATACTTTCCCACACTGTCCAATTACACGAGTTGTAAGGATAAATCAGAAACCCCAAGGAGCTACCCGCTGGAGGAGGCTTTCCCCCGCAGACTAAAGCATGAGCTAGCCAGACCTCGCAAAGATACAATAAACGATTCCCCACGGGACGATTGATCTATTCACATCACAGACCAAGAGAGTCCCCTTCTCCATGTAGACCTACAGTAGAAGGGGTGATGCTGGTGACGATCGGAGGCGAATAAAACAACCACTGAGTCCTATCCCTCGTAAAGTCTATGCTGTTCGCTGACACTTCCAAATACCTGCATTGACCACCTTATCCATAAACAGTAAATAAGTAACGCAATTGGCTCAGTGGACTGACCCACCCTAAGAGGCTATCAATCTCGATGCCATTCGTGAGCCGACGCTGCTGTGGCAACAGCGGAGCGATGCAAATTGCATACGAGTCGGCGGCGGGAACTGCCGGGTCAGTGTATGTACCAACCTACAGTATCAACACTCATCGACCTCATCAGGCGAGCGCAGTGGTGCTCACCTCCAGCGCCTGAGTGATAGTCAAATCGAGCCAACGGCAGTATACTGGCCAACTCAGACCAGAGCCAACCAGAGTCACATTCGTTGACTCATCCCACCTCCACGCTGGGAAAGGGAGCACGTCCAAGACCCTTTGCCGTCGGGCGTATTCATAAGTGAGATTGCCGAAGTAATCCTTACCGTCGAATGACAGCATAACCTGACCGCAACGTAGAGTGTTGAACCAAATGCGTTTCTGATAGGCGTTCATCTACCTGTACGGTACCCTCGCAAGCGTCTCCCCGAGGATCTCCTCCCATGGCATCATCACAATGAGGCACGACACATTCAACTCGCTCCGTGTTCAACCAGTCTTTCGCTGGTAGTGCGGCCTGGCCAAACCGACACTGTAACTCGATCGTGTTCAAAAGGTTAGTTCCTGAATGAGAGAGGACGTTTCAGATGCACCCGAACCGCAGCGGTCTCACCGTCAATCAGAACCTCAGTTCCACCACTGAAGTACCCCCGTGTAGGATGGAGACTCTCAAGCGTAGGAGGAGGTAGTACTGTGATATTCTTGCCGGTAGGGACGTAGTGTGTCCCATCGAGAGTCAACAGCAAGGGGTGAACTCCCACCACTAGAGGCGGAGTCGTGCATTGCATCATCTGAATGCGAAAGGCTTTCTCATTGGGAGGTACACACAAGTCGGGATTAAATAACCGACCCGTGAGGATATGAAGTTCGCCGGTACTGTGCCGTTGCCGAATTTGCACCCAAGACCGGGCGAGTCGGCGAATCTGCTACCAGTGATGAGGATTGAAGTACCCCCAGCGGACATGGCCATATCAGGCAATAACGCCTCAACGACAAAGTCGCCGACATACGAAAATGTCGCCTGATTAGAGAAAGCTTCCGGAATAGGGCTCTAATGATCAGGTAATTCACTCGTATTGGGGAATAGCTGTAGCCCAGGTAGAACGAGAGTTGCACAAACACATCTGCGGGTGCAGTGGCAATAGGGTCAACCTGAGATGAAATGGGGATAATTCGACTCAGGGATCCGCTCACTTCTGCTAAGGAGGGTGCCAAACACCACAGAGATGTCGAGTTAGTTACATGTGCTAGTACTTCAATGGTCCCAAACCTGAACGAAATATCATACGACGGCAAAGAAGTCACTACCCGGATTTGAACCGGGGTTGTCACGGCCACAACGTGACATCCTAACCACTAGACGATAGCGACTCGACGAAACCAAGTCAACGTACGATTATAAGCAGGTGCCACCTAGCTCACCTGCATAATGCAAATCCTTCTGGAAGACCTGTGACGAAGTTGGTTCCTCGAATGGTTATGTTAGCCCCGCCAAAAGAAGCCAGGGTCTGCTTCGGGGACAGCACGTAATAAGCCTCTTGTGGAGATATCAAACCGTACTGACTGAATCCAACGGACGTTTGTACGCTGTAGAATGCCACTGGGGCCCTCGAGAAAGACACTTCCAGAGCCAATGGAGTTCCCGGCTCATCAGCCTCAGTGGGCGAGAAAGGTCTGATACGGAACTTCGAGGGCACTCCGCAGCGGAAAGTAGACGTTCCCCAATCAAGGCGGCCCATCACGACCACTATCTCATTCCATCGACAGATCACCGTAGTAGAGACGTTCGGGAAGTGACTGCCCGATACCACCACCGATTCGCCACCAACCACGGAACCAACTGGGGGATATATAAGGCTGAACTCAGGATATCGATGATAGTAAAATGTCGCAGTTGAGTCGCTGATCGAAGAAAATGTGAGGCCCGCGTCCATGCTCACCTGACTCAGTGCATACGAAGGAAGCAATGACCACGTGCGGCCCCTACCTGAACGTTGCGCGGTCCTGTAGTAGACACGAGCGGGGTCTCGCAATCGATGGTCCGATAGGTTGCATTCCACCTCCCGGGAGTAGATATACCACCAAAGCGACAGACAATAAGGAAATCAGCTCTGCCCGGAAAGCCACTCCCTTTCGATGTATACAAGTGCACCGTAGTATTGCCATCAACGAGTCCCATGGACGGCACACAGCGGACTACCGGGTACTCCGAGATGTTAATCACCCAACTGCTATACAACATGGGAAGGATGCTAGTCGAGTTAATCAAAGTCGGCTGGAGATTGCTTGCCAGAATGCTCGCCTTGTACATCTGTAGACCACTTATATTAGAGCTCGTTTGATTATACGGCGCACGAATAGTCTCCGAGGCCTGATTAGTAGGACATGAATGCCGAAGCTGGAACGCTCATAGACTACTTGAGGCCATACTGGAGGTAGAACTACAGCTGGGGGCGGCGACTCCGACTCATACACTATCGCAATACCAATAGGAGCCGCCCAATGTACCTGTGCCGAGCCTTCCACAGGAAACACAACAGTCAGGGCTCTTACTTTGTCCAGCGATACCGTGATAGTTCCCCGTCCGTATTCAAGACCAGCGCCTACTCCCACTGGGAGTTGGCACTCACATGCAGATGTGTTCAAGAACAAAGCTTCAACGATATACCTGAGACAAGTACTGCTGCAACAAGGGAAAAGCCTCGTTTCCTTACCTTCCATCGAACATACAAGAAAAGTCTTCCGAGGTCGAGAAGTTCCTCCCAACCACCGTGACATTCGCACCACTCCCAAACATAACAGTATCTGAATCACATTCGCCTTCACAAGACTGTGCCCCGTTCACCAGGAGATGTTCGTTCGACCGTCGGGATGGTCATCCAAGTGAACACTGCTGTTGGTACTCCTGCAGCCGAGACCAGCTCGTTAGATTCCCAACAACGGAGCTCAAGCGGGTCTATCACAACAGGGAACCTGCCAAGCAACGAGAATTGAGGCACACAGTGCTTCAGTGGAGTCAGCGAAGGTACCCTGGGGACCGCAATTGCACTTTGGCGTGTGTACTGTTCAATAAGACCGTGGTCATGGCACGCTGGACTCCAGCATAGAATGAACAATTCAGCGGTGGATACATGTAAGGGAAGTCCTGGCCGACCTAGTGAAGATGCGTAGATGATAATGGGTGTGGGGGAATCCGACCTACCACGGTGACCCACGCGAAGCCTGTGCCTATTGACCATGGGTATGAGTCAGGGGATAAGGTGTCGATGAAGGCTTCGCTCCAGTACCTGTTACGGATGATGATAACGATGCAAGGATGATGAATAAAGCAATTGACATAAGGGCTGTGCCGAGAATTGAACTCGGGACCTCTCGCACCCTAAGCGAGAATCATACCACTAGACCACACAGCCACCTATATATTACTCATACTTTCGAGAGTCCTAGGCTCAAGTGCTCAGTCAAACCATAGCCACAAACCACTTACGTGAATCCAAACTCTCGGGCGTTGCCAGGGACCAGCTCGGACCCTATCCACAATGTAACGGAGCCTGAAATTCAGAATTTTCAGACATTCTGATCAGCGACGAAAACTTGATCGTGACTATCGATATTCGTTCGTCTATGAATTCTCAGGATTGCACACACCTAGTGCCGTAACGATACTAACACTCCAACCATGATAGGAGTCAGTCGGAGAGCCCACCTGAGGAGTTCGTAGGCGGCACCTCACACCACGCACGCGTGGCACTGACGAACTCGACTTCGCTCTGCCCTCGATTTCCAAAGATACACATCGGGGGCGATTCAATCTCCTTGATATGAACGGGAAAGTTAACGCCATCGATCCACACTTTGGCCAGCCCTCGCGTCGATGCATGTCGGGGAGTCACTGCACGGTAGTCGGCAGGAGGGCGAATCAATATAGCAACCTCGTCGGTCTGGTACGGGGGTTCCGATAAGGTCTCCAAGCTCAACCAGATCGCCCCCGCAGTAGAACTACCGGTGAATGGCAGTTTGCATTCTAGCGTTGATTCGTTGATAATGACAGCCGGAATGCGACGTGTTCCACCCATCTTGCAGGCCAACAGATCGATCCAGTCATCGAAGTGCTGTCCCAATAAGGTGACGACCACCGACCGCGGGGTCGACTCGACCCCTCGTGGCCAGGAGGATTCGAGTACAGGCATGGGTGGAAGCTCTGGTGGGAAATGTATACCGAAGAGCCGCGGAGGGAACAACCCTGAGAAGCCATACATCACAGGGGAACGGCCGAATCCATCCTCGCTAGGTGATACCACATTGCTGTTTTGGTATGACAACCATTATCAGTGTGGATTTCGGAAGGGATTCAAAATTGAGGGAACCTTCTATTCAACTTAGTCTACTCACGAACTACATACTCCCCGTATAGGATTCCCAAAAATCCGCATTAACGTGAATATGGATATGGTCAGTTGTCCGAACCTACGAGTGGTATGTCATCATGGGAGTGTATTGACTGATTAAACTCCTTAGACAAAATGTCTGATTTAAAATCAGATAAACACTAACGCCTTTACTTGTGTGTTGCTCTATGATAGAGTAAAACAACTCCCTCTACCTCTCCTACTCTTCTTACCACAGCCTTCTTTCCAGGCCTCATAGGCTCTTGAAAGTGTCACCAAAATCACCAGTAATAACCTCAGCATCCCAAAGCCCCTATGGAGGAGTATAGCAGAAGCATTAATGAAAGTAAACTATCATCACCACACTAGTGTGACGAGTGGGTTACTATTGACTAGGACCTTGTTCTCCTCTACTCATGACCCTCCACAATCGTTCCTATTGCACAATATCCTACAAGCTGTGCTAAAGTCTATGCTAGCTACTATGCTATGCTAATATAATGATACAAGTGATGATGAGGTGCTCAACGTATTGTATGTGATAATATTGTCTTCAGCCTATCAACTCCCACTCGTATTAATAATGTATCTATATCTTCAGGCTTGATGTTGAGTCTAGATCTACCACATTAGAAATCCTCATATCCTACCCTTCGTCAAAATTCTGAAGGTAATCGGCTCAAGCGCATTTTACTGCGGCCTTACACACTGTAGTCTTTAGATGTGTCGTCATCACTAAAATTGAATTCCATGCAAAAGCGTTGATAATTTTCCGAACTTTAGACTAGCCCATTCCGTAACTTACAAATAGCATACAGACTTTAACTGTCCATCATCATGCGCCGTTTTCTCTCCGAATACAGCGTAAGATTACTCTCGCTCGCCCCAAAAATGGTATGTTAATGTGGAGGTGAGTCTAATGAAGTGGGTGGTATAATAATTAAGGATGGGTTAAGAGATACGATAATGTGAATATTTCACGCACGATTATATTGAGCTTACATAGAAGCGTTCATTACGTAGTGTAATACATAAGTAGTACAAATTTTACCCATGGTCTTCACATGGCCTCAGTAGTTGCTGAGCTTACCAACACTGTGAAGGTTCATGACGGTAGTCCACACTGAGTATACAAATACTACTACAGTCCATCCTGTCCTTACTCCCGGGGCTTTCTGGTTGTATTACTGGTTAAAACTGTTGCACTCGTGATTCGTATAATAACTCCTCAGAAACGCTCCATCGCGCTCCAAGGCGCTGTTGTCATCCACAGTGTCGTCGTGATACATTTCCTCTCCCATGCGAGCGCTCATTCTACTCCTTACGTTGCTGCTCTCCACAGCCCTTCAAACCACCAACAAGAAGGTGTCTGTCAAAGAAGTCGTAAGTAACCGCTCATTCCCTTTCCCCTGTAGTTCCCCCCAGGTCTTCGACAGTGCGGTAGCCGACATGCTATGGCTCGGTATTGACAATAAGGTTGTCCTAGTGAGAACTACTCGTGGGAGAATCTACAGGTTCGCTCACCCACCGCTGGCAACATCATGCTCTGCATTTTCAGATCGATCAACGGTGGTGACGTTTGGGATGAAATCACAAACGCTCTTGTGAGCAGTAGCTCAGCTACGTAAGCCTTTAGTTCGCATCCCATTACAGTATGGGAAAATATGTACATGGTCAACTCATGGGGATAAAAGTTAGAAATTCTCATTGGTTTCTGCACGTTCAAGTCGTA